CAAAGGAATAAGAAATATTTAAACTTAAAAAAATAAACAACAGAAAAACAGAATGAAATCCATTCTTAGCTTTTATTTTCATATTATAAACCATGGGACAAATTTATACTGTACCTTCTCTTTCCAAACTCCACTTATATTGCTTGATATAAGCAATGTATTTCCTATATTGCTAGGACTTTTATGTTACATTCATTTTATAAGATATTAATAATTTCTGTGTAGAACAATTTGTATTTCTGACAGGCTTTGATGGTTACTTGAGAGGAGAAAAATACTTAGTGACCAATGATGGTTCAATTTAGTTGTTGCAATGTCATATTATTTTCTTCAATTTATATCTCTCCCTACATGCCATATTATCTTTTTTGGCCTAGGGGGAAAAAACTGTTAAAAGGGGATTTTACCATAATTCTCAACAATAAATTTTTGGGGAGGAGGTAGTAAATTAAGGTCACTTAATTTCAAGTTCATGATTGTATCTGGAAGCATTCCATTTATCATCTCCACTGTAACCAATCTCCAGATCACCACCATCTCTCCCTGGATTATCACAACCTCCAAATAGGCCTCCATTTTTGCCTTGCTTCCAAAGATTGTATTTTCAGCAGCCAGTGATCCTTTTAAAAGGTAAGCTGAGTCCTAAAACTTCTCAGCTCAAACCCTTCAAATACTTACCTGCCCTACAATGGCCTACAAAGTCCTACATTCTCCCCATATACATTGGGTTCCAGCCACCTGATTTCTTTTTTCTGGTATTCAAATATGGATACTACTATCTCCCCCTACCCAGCATTCTCTATCCTCCTTTCTTTAATTTCACACACAACATTCTGTTATTTGTCTCACCATTTTAATGTAAGCTCCAAGAGAGCAGAAGAGTTTTATCTGTTCTGTTCACTGGCAGCTTGTGCACTACACAAAGCTAAGAAGCATCAATGCATAGACTACAATACTTGGCATGGTGCAAGTGCTCAATATTTATTGACTGAATGAATATATAATTAGACAATCACTATGAAATTAAAGAATATGGTGGTAAATTACCATATCAAAAGTATCAACCTGTTAAATACAAAAACTCTAGTTTTTTTTTTGAGAATATGTTTTTTATCTTAGGACCTTGGTTGTTCTTACTCTTGAGTAAGGTGAAATGAATAATTTGTTCTTTTGACTTTGCTCTTGCTCCATTTATCTAGAATGTTCCCTGTACCTTTCAAAAGCCAGTTCACTGGGTCATAAGTCATTCCTGAACTACTTCACATGGAGGTTCCTTGTGCCCCCATAATACCCTTTTTCACTGCCCTTTAAAATTCAATTTTGTTATTAATCTTTCTGCTACCTAGATTATAAAGTCCGTGAAGCTGGGGCCCCTAGCATCACATCATATCAGTCTTCCTTGTATCTAAAATACTGCTTGTCACACAGAGAGCATTCAACAGATATTTTTCAAAAGAATTAACTATTTGAGATTTAACCAGTCAATCCTTTTTATACAGTTGCATTTTAAACCCATTTTCTTCTTGTTACACTTAAAGACTTATTCATTCTCTTATCTTCTTCTACCTTCTCCATCCAGCAAATACTCCAGCTAGATTGGATTCAGAAATTTCCTGAACCATATGGTGTCCCTGTCCTTTATTGCAGACACTATTCCTCTTTATGAAATGCTTTGTTCCTGGAAAATTCTTACTAATCCTTTGAGGGCTGAAATGTCACTTCATTAAGAATGCCATACTTTGACATCCCTACAAAAGCTGTTTTGTGTCCCACTCTACCATGCACATATCTGAAAAGGTGAAATGAACAACTGTTCCTTCAGTAAACATTTGAGCACCTGTTCCATGCCAGACATTACACTAGACACAAAGTATAATGAACATGACAGACATAGTTCCATTCTCATAGACCTTACTATCTAGCAGGGGATATGTACATTAAGCAAACAGAGCTGCAATAACTGCTTGAAAGAGGAGCAGGGAGTACCAGAGGCTATGAGACTATATAAAAGAGGAATCCACACTGGTCTGGAATAAGGAAGGAAAGCATAAGTTCAAAGGCTTAAGGGAAATAAAATGAGTGGGAGCTGGGAAGTCCAGAGATATAGCCAGTATAGGAATGGACAATCATATTTAAAATTACAACTTCCTCCAGTCTCAATCTCCTTTTCCTTCTCTTGGTTGACTTCCTGTCTTTCCCAAATAGAACTTTTGATCAGACGTAGTTACTGGAATCTAGAACAGCACCTGGCTTATAGCAGGAGCTAAATACCATTTGTTGAATGAATGGACAAATAAGAAGTTTGGTATGCATGTATGAAAGCTGGGTAGAAATAAGCTCAGATTTGAGCTTTTAAAAGTACAATTTGGCCACAGGGTAAAGACTGACCTAGGGAGGAAGTTTAGTGGCAAACAGACTACTTAATATCCTTTAGTCAGTCCAAGGAAGAGATCATAGTGGCTTCACCTACTGATATTTAGGAGGCAGTATCAACAGGACATGGTGACTACACAGGGAGGGAAACTCAGGCTTTACAGTCAGTTAAGATTTGGGCTTGACTTCCAGTTGTCACTATGTTAGGCAAGGTACTGAGCTCTCTGAACTTCAGTTTTTCTATCCAATGATAATAGTACCAATCTCTCAAAAGAGTACTATTAAGTACTAGGATGATATACTTTCAGAGTGACTGCCAGTATTGTTCAATTAATGTTAATTGACTTTCCCTATGGCATTTATTTATTTATATGCTTATTCTTACTGAGAGATTTTTGAGGACTAAAACCCCATTTGTCATCATTTTGTACCTAGCACAGTGGGTGATAAGAGGTAGACATAGTAAGTTCTGAAACCAGTTATAGGAAAAAACTACATTAGTTTTCAGCTATAACTTTAATAAACTGAGGCTACCAGGATCTATTTTGGAAACTGTTCCTAACTTACTAGCCCTTTCTCAACTTTAGAAAATGGCAAGAAGTGTGAGAGAAAGAAAAGCATACATGATAAAAACTGTAAATTCAATAAGAGTACTCACCCGACAGTGCCTTATTCATTTTTGTATCAATCAGAACAATGTTTTACACATAATGTGTGCTCAATGAAAATTTGATGAGTAAATGAATTGGTATTTCTTTAACTACTTGCAAAGCTACATTTTCAGGCATCACCTAACACTTTGCTTACCTGTCTGCAATCGCAAGTGAGCCTCAATATTTTGTAGTCGTTCTTCTACAGCCTGATTACCACAGTCTCGGAGCATACTGTTGGATTTATGACCTGACCCTTGAATTCCTTCAGGTCTAGTCTGTGGTCCATATGTATTCACAACTCTAGAAACTGAAGTTAAGAAACTTTAAAGCCTATGTCCATTTACATTTCAAAAACAGAAACAGAAATTTGCTAACATTATATTCTTTTCACCTAACTACAAACCCAGAAATGAAGAATAGCAATATTTTTGTTTTGTTTTATAATAAACAAACTTAGATGGGAAATTTATTTTTATTCCATTCTGTTAATAAGCTAGAATAAGCTTCTGTTAGTGACAAAGATATTATGCCACAGTTACTTACCCTTTACATGACTTTTAAATCCAGGATAAGGGGTAAAAATGGCATCAGTTCTTGCACAACTATTTTCTAAGGAGAATTTAGATGAATATAAAGTTAAATATATTCAGATTTATAAACCTAATAATTCATACTAACATATTACTCATAATAAGAGAATATGATGTTAAATAATGACAATAACTAAAATTACCATCACATACAGAATAGACCAAATCCATCCTCTAAAATGAATCATACCATCTAATATTTTTATCTAATGGTCAGATTTATACACAAAAAAGCCATTAAGAAACATAACAATACAATTTTTAATGTAAACCAATGTTCCTAAAAACCATTTGAACCTCCGGAGAAAATAATTTATATATTATAGAATACTGTATTTTAATACTACTTCATTAGAGAAATAGAACTCATTTTTATTGAAATATCTTTTGTTAAAAATATTTTTTATATTTTTGTTGCTCTTATTCAATTATTGAATACCAAACAAAAAGGGCTGATTATATATTTAACATCTTTTAATTTCAGAACTCCACATAAAAAAGTCCTTTATCTCAAAAATAACATATACTTTCCCACTTTACCTAGATTTCTGATGTTCATTTAAAAACCCCTATCACAAGTCATCTACTCTTCCCATTCTACCACTTAGAAAAAAATGCAACTTCAGGTAAATAAAAATTTATTCCAATTTTTTTTCCAAGCTGAAAAGTACAGTTTCTTTTAAGTTAGATATGAACAAATAAGTTATAAAGTAAGAAAACTGGAAAGATATTAACATAACATATAATACTATTAATATACTCACATGCATATTATAATCTATAATACTACATAGTAATAATATATACTATTGCTTAAAATA